TTAAATACTCAAGTACTTTTTCCCAATTTAAATTTCTAGTTCTCAATCATTTTCCTAGCAGAAAAATCGTATAAGAACAGTTGTTTAGAAGAACAGTCCCGGTTGTCGACTCCTCCTGATGTCTGGCCGGTGATCGGTTTTAGATAAAACTACGTATTAGGGATTTCTTGAAACATAATTCACGAGGCAGAAAACTTGGCATTAGGCGTCTTACCTTGCAGATTATCGTCTCATCGTAGTTTGAAAAAGTCACGTGAAATTTCAAAATTTGTTTTCACTATTACGAAACGTTGTGCAATAGTTTGAAATTAATGATGATGTCTATCGCTTTTCTGGATTTCATCAGTTTTTTTTAATATTTGGCAAAAACGAATTTCGACAAAATGCGATTTCCGTTGCCTAGGTAACGTTGATGGAGCTAAATATTATACCAAACAAAACTTTGGTCAATGCTTTAATACTGGTCGAAACACCAAAGAAATCGGTGCATGGAAAAATTTTCAAAAAGCAAATTTAAAAGGAGAGGTATGATCGAAAAAAACGCTATAGGAAGGCGCACATTTTACACACGAAGACGGTACACAGTTTACAGGCGAAGGCGCACATTTTTCACACGAAGACGGTATACAGTTTACAGGCGAAGGCGCACATTTTTCACACGAAGACGGTATACCATTTACAGGCGAAGGTGCGCATTTGCCAGACGAAGATACACGGGCTCCGAAAAAAACGCTATAGGAGTCGGAAAAAAAAACTATAGGAAGACACCTTAAGCTTTTTAAAATATATTTGTCTTCAGAACCTGAAAATCTGTACTTTGTCAGGTATATTATTGACTCATCCTTCCGTTGTGGTTTGAAAAATCACTCGAAATTTTACAATTTAAGCTTTATATATTTCGCATGAGACCTTGAACATCTTTCCTTTGTCAGGTAAATTCTTGATCCATCGACATCAAAAATGAGGACTGTGACCTTGGTTGTACTTGTGCTGCTTTGTTGCATGCTGCTGCTGGAGGCCAAGAAAGACCCTGTCAAGTCAGATAAAAGAGATGTTGCCGTGAACGATTTTGTTGAAGACACTGAACTTGACGATGTGCCAAAGCTGACTCCCAGATCGCAGCTAGAGAAAAAATCGTGGTGGAGAAGGCGAAGGCGATCGTCCAGGAGGCGTCGATCGTCCAGGAGGCGTCGATCGTCCAGGAGGCGTCGATCGTCCAGTAGGCGTCGATCGTGGTGTGCCAGACGGCGATTTATCAGGCGAAGGCGCACATACTCCAGACGAAGAAGGTACACGGGCTCTGGAGCAGGTGCCTGGTAGTTTGAATTCCAGAAATGCAAGAATTAAAAACATAAGATAGAATGGTGTTAAGGGTATTTTATGTAGTCACTTGATAATGGGGTAAAGATGATTATTATTAAAGCATATTGAACTCAGTCTAGTTTTTGATAATTCAACATGGTGATAATCTGGTGGGGAAATTCTAACCCCAAAGGTCTGCAATTTTGTCCTGTGGCCAGGACTGATAAGCTAGTCTATTGCGATCAGTCCGTAAACCATTTCCAGACTTTGTTTATTCACATACCAAAGAATTGCCCCACAAAAGTTATCCTTCGTTTAGCAGCCATATATGGTAATCTTACCTTATTTGGAAGCTCGATAGGAATGGTTTTTGTCGATTTTCTCGACTTTTAAAGCTTTAAATCGTCTGAAACTTGCAGATGTTATAGCGAAAACACTTCTAAACAATCTGCCATTTTGTTTGTTTCCATATATGGCATGGATTCGCTAAAGGAAGCCCAAAACTAAAAAGCACAGGGAACCCGCACGATTGATGCTTCAAGCATTCATTGCCCTTAGTTTTAAATGTCTGAACGACAGCCTCGTTCTTGGGTTAAGAAAATGACGTCATATGCTTCACGTAAAACCACCAACCGGTGTCATCTCGGCCCAGATTTATGGCGGATACTGAAAAAAAAACGACTTTCAAAMCTCAGTTTTTGTGATTTTTAATGCTGTATCGATAAAAAATTCCTCACAAATACTTATTTGGAGCTCCATAATGAATTGTATGTACAAAAACAGCTCAAATTGGATGTTTGGTTTTCATCGTACCCGTACTTAAAGTTTTTAATAGTTTAGAACACTCGGAATCTCTTGCTGTGTCTATTTTCTTAAAAATGAGCTTGAAAATCTGCATTTTACGCATTTCATTTAGAGTCAGATATCGTAAAATGAATTAGTCTTTGATTTGAATTTAATAGATTTTCAAAGTCATGTTCAAATTGCATATCATCATCTTTGGTTTCAGCCGGCATTAAGTTCATTTATACTAATGAACGATAAAACTCTTCCCTCCTACTTTTCTATGTTTATTCATTTGATAATTATGTACATGTACAAGTTTCAAGAAAGCTATAAAATTGAATCGCAAAATATCCAAATTTGAATGATGTTATTTTTCCACCTGGRAGACATGAAGCGTAGCTAATTTRCATTTCAATTCGAAAACCAAAGATGGCTGCTCTCCCAAATAAGAGCCATTATTGAGCTCCCMAAAAAATTACTTTTTTCTATCGCCCGCGTTTGTTGACTTGTGCATACACAGAGTTTGATAAATTGTTGCTTAACTTTAACTTTGATAAAAGTTYGTGTTTATGTCATTTGCTTCTTTTCGTGGTTTTCATTGGCAACGTTATAAGTTCAACACAGGAAAACAGGACTTTATTTTCTTTAGGAGAATTGACTTTGTCTTCTGTTGTTGAGTGAATTAAATAAGMACATTTTTGTGTATACTTTGTCCTGCCTTTGGAAGAAATAATTAGCACCWAATGAAATTTTAATAGCTACAAGAAAACACARATTTCACGGTATTTGTTATGAGAATGAGACACCCCGCCTGMCAAAAAAWACACTTTCCTCTTKCGATGTTTCTTCCTTGTTGTTATGAAGTTCCTTAATCCCTGACCACTTTCCTTTATTTTGCCTTTCATTCTTTCTTTTCTTAAAATCATGTCAGCTAGTAGATTCCTTTTTTAACTCTTTTAACTCGGATATTGGAGGAAGACGATTTTTCAGTCAGTTTCCTGTAAACTCGTTGCTATAGTAACACTGCTTTTTTGGATTATGAGGTTATAGTATTGATATCTTCTGGAAATTCATCATGCATGATGGTCTTTCTGTGCATTTCAATGCATTTACTGAAGCAAAGCAATTGTTTTTTTCCGGAAACTTTGAGCTTTCGTTTGCTTTCATTTAATGCTAATTCTTCTTGAACTTTCTTGCTGTCTCATATATATGTCAAATTAAGAAATAATTAACATTTAAAACTTTTTCTAATCATATCCTTGTATAAAAATAGGTTAATAATTAAGCTAATTAGAGTCTCCCTTTTCGGTATATTCCCAAAATAAAACATTTCTTATTTACTGATATTTTGAGTAAAATCTTTTTGGAAATGATGAACGAAAGGAAATTTTATCAAAAAAATTAATAATACGAAATAATAATAATAATTAATAATGATAATCCCTCTTTTGTCATTGTTTCCCTCTTGCAAATAAATAAAATTTAATAAATGATTGCCATTTCTAAAAACTGAGCTAGCAGAGAGTCTCTCTCGTTGTAGTYTCTGACGAGTAACGAGTTCTGCTAGCAGGAATCCTTGATAGAAAACAGATTAATAATGATTATCTATATCTCATTTATAACATATTTTCATAATATCGCCTTTTTTATCGTGACATTTCCCTCAGTTTCGAATCTCATACACAAACGCCCACGACAAACAATARATGCTATTAATTTWACGGAAAACTCACAAAACAGCTRYGTGCTTCAGATTGTTCATCAGGTGTTTGCAAGAGYTCGAGGACGGTGGACTAAACTCAGCAACCCTTGTCGGACCTGTAGTTGAGCAGTGAAAAATACATCAAGGTATTGCCGTACATTCATTTTATTTTTGTAATACTATACTATAAAAACCGGATTACAATGATCACAATTTAAGCATTACATATTTGTCAGAGCTTGAACATTTTTTCTTTGTAGCTGATTATTGACTCATCGATATCAAAAATGAGGAATGTGACCTTGATTGTACTTGTATTGCTTTGTGGCGTGCTGGTGCTTGAGGCCAAGAAAGACCCTGTCAAGTCTGATAAAAAAGCCGTTGCAGTGGACGATTTCGTTGAAGACACTAACCTTGACGATGTGGCAAAGCTGACTCCCAGATCGCAGCCTGAGAAAAGATGGTTTAGAAGCGGTCGGAGAAGGCGTCGATCGTCCAGAAGAAGACGGATTATCGCGCGCTACCGGAGAAGGTGTACCAGACGAAGAAGGAGTTTCGTTTACAGTCGAAGGCGCACATTTTACACACGAAGACGGTATACAGTTTACAGTCGAAGGCGCACATTTTTCACACGAAGACGGTATACAGTTTACAGGCGAAGGCGCACATTTTACACACGAAGACGGTATATAGTTTACAGGCGAAGGCGCACATTTTACACACGAAGACGGTACACAGTTTACAGGCGAAGGCGCACATTTTACACACGAAGACGGTACACAGTTTACAGGCGAAGGCGCACATTTTTCACACGAAGACGGTACACAGTTTACAGGCGAAGGCGCACATTTTACACACGAAGACGGTACACAGTTTACAGGCGAAGGCGCACATTTT